GTGAGCCGGAATTCGTGGGAGAAGGATTTCCTCTTCTTCTTCGAGTTTACCAGCTTTAAACTCTGACGGAAAGTTCTGGTTGTTCTCAACTGCAGTCCTGTTCCAGAACTTGAGTGTTACGTGTGCATCCGTTTGACAGATCTCACTAATTTGTATTCAGACTGTTAGTTCCTTGCCTCTCAGGCAGAGGCGTTCCGACTTTGAAGTAAGCTCCTAATTAGTCTACTCTTACGACATGCTTTTGGGTAGGCAGTGGGTCTATTCTTGTTTTCCCTATAGCAGAGTCCAGGAACCGACAAGGGGAGAGAAGGCATTGATAGTGTTCTGAATTTGTTTAGCTGGCAACTCAGTTCTCTCTCTCTCTTCGTTGTGTCGTGGGTTCCTTTGAGTCAATTGGAGGTTTGACATGCAGTCGCACAGGAATACCAATTTTGCTGTTTTTAATTTTTTTTTCCTCAAGTACCTAACTTCTTTTTCAGTAAAACACTGTTACCACTGGGAACCGCCGTGGCGTAGCCACTTGACGCTCGCCTGCGGATCTGAAGATCGTGGGTTTAGGTCCTGAAGAAGCCGGACTGTTTTCATACATGACCCTTGGATCCCAGGTCGACCTAGCCTTAAAATGGGTACCAAGTAAAGCCCTGGTAAGTAAAGGCGGCCGGCTTGATGTTGACTACATCACCCACTGAGTGCCGGTTGGTCTATAAAGTATAGGTTTAGCCTGATATGCCCAATACGCCTAAAAGCGTGGAAAACGGTACTTTATTTTTACCTTTACTGAGTGGTACCACAAACTAAAATCCACGTGAAAGATCCTATTTCAACTTCCCGCCGCGGAAATCACACCATGGTTCGTTGGAAATTGTGAAACGTATTCACTAACCTCCACGATTTCATAACGTTTACGCACATTTATGCCAATGTGTCATTTGTCTTTTATTGTACTGTCTCCGCCTAGCGCATATTGATATCTGTTCAGACATTCCTTATGTCAAACCATGATAGATTAATTACTCGCGAGCGCCCGTGTGTGTGTGTGTGTGTGTGTGTGTGTGTGCCTGCGTGGGCGCGCGTGCGTGCGTGCAATGAGTTGCCTGTATGACCACCATTAATTAAGTTAATATTTTGGTAAAATTCATGCAATTAACTAGTGCTTACAATTTGCTTTATTTGACATTAAGTGGCAGGACAAGATCACAAACACTAACGTATTGGAAAAAGCAGACACTTAACCAATCTTCTCCATGCTCAGTCTACGAAGGTTCAGGTGGTTGAGTCGCACCTGGAGAATTGAGGATGGCAGATTTCCAAAATACATCCTCGACGGTGAATTAAAAATGGGTAGAAGATGTCGAGGCCGACCTCTACTACGATATAAAGATATCTGCAAGCGGGACATGAATGATGCAGGTATTGAGGGGGACTCGTGGAACAAAATGTAAATGGGACCGTGTTGTGTGAAGGGGGACACATCATGAAGAGAATGAGAATGAATGAAGAAATTTTTTGAGAAAGGATGAGAGCTGAGTGTCTGAGAAGAAACAGACTAAAACACAAATGCTGAAAGCAACGGTCCTGAAATCCCACGCTGTAATTGTGGAAGACTTTTCTTTCAGCGTCTTGCTAGTCACACTCGCCATCGAGATGGTCTGTGAGTCACATGCCTCTTAATAGCGCAATATACATAACACTATCGTCTGAAAGACTGAAAGGTGCCAGTCAGGATGTTCTGTGTTGCACCAGGTATTACCCATTAGTGCATGACACCTGTGCTGCCAGAGGAGCTTTTAATGCGTGTACAGCATTAGCACCAGTTTTCTATGCTGCCCAAAAATGATGCTTGTCTAATACCGCTCACACGCGTGCACACAATCAACACACCCACCCACATGGAAGTACAATGCAAAAAATAGAAAAATAGAGCGATAGAGAGCTATAGAGGTCGAGAGGTAGAGGTAGAGAGAGAGAGAGAGAGAGAGAGAGAGAGAGAGAGAGAGAGAGAGAGATGGCCAGAGAAATAGACAGAGAGATGGAGAAAAAGAAATAGTCATAGTCATATACAATAGACACACTATCACACATACACCCACACATGCATGCAGGTAAGAAGGCAGGTAGGCTGACTTGGAGAGAGAGAGAGAGAGAGAGAGAGAGAGTGTGTGAACGACCGCCCGAGCTAGAGAGAGAACAAATATTGAATTCATGACTGATATTGTTTTGCTTTTTAATCATTTCGAATACAGATGATTTGTACTTAAACCAGTGCACCTCATAGCAAAACATAAACTGACTGCTGTGATAAAATTTCTTATAAAATAAAATCCTTTTTTTTTTTTAAAGACACGCCTATCAATATCGCACTCTGCGCCTGTTAGTCTTTTGTTCCCTAAAGAATTTGTCTATTATAGTACATTTGTCCCAGCTTGCAATATATATATATGCTTGCTTGCTTGTTTGTTCTATCCCAAAAGTACATCACATAACCGATAAAAACCCGGTGACACCAATTAACCCACCATGCAGATATATATATATATATATATATCTATAATATATATATATATATATATATATATATATATCATATATATATATATATATATATACACTATAAATCACAAACCCTTTCTGTACTTCGTATGATGAACTGTTAACTCCTCGCAAACCGTGACCAGTACACAGGTTCAACTTTTTAACTGAGATTATTTTTGCAAAGTTCAATTTAACCGTCACAACGACGGCCATGTTATTGTGCATTTATTTTATATATTGCGACAATCTGTAAAACTCAAATTTTGTTGGGGTTGTATCCCTTTGAATATGTTTTCTTTATAAATCCGTTATCTTGTAAACTTTTTAAAAAGAAAGGCATTTCGCTATTATCTATCTTAAAACGTAGACTTTAAGAGAAGGGTGTTAAAGGAGGTTATAGCTTTATCGATCAGATTTGGGTTACAGCCAGAATGCCGAAACATAACCCTGAGTCACGCCTAGAGCCACTGCCCCGTTACTCCAGAGGGGCGCTAAGGTAGCAGTAGCACTATCAGAAGAACTGTTCCAGGACACTCCTGTTTTCCACCTCTGGCCGTGACTCAAATACTAGTTTACACATTGATATGTATCATTTGAGGATGCCAGCTGAGTCTACAGCACAAAAAAAAAAAAAAAAAAAGGAGGGGAAAGGGTAAAAAAAAAGGGAGGGAGGAAGGGACTCAGCCTAACCTACATCCAACCCGGACCGCCTTGCTCCTCTTCCCCGAGTGTTTTTCCTCTAGGAATGCAGTCTGTACTGTAAACATCTCAAGGAAAAGAGACAAACAGGTATAAATCCAGAACAACCTGTTCAACTATAGTGAAGTTATAGCTGGCACCACAAAATGGTTAAAAAGTAATCTGTAGTTCAGTGTGATTGGGTCTATAATTATTCATCGCCGTTCAAGTTTTCTACACGACTCATTGGTAAACGGGTCGACCAGTGGCTAGCCAGAAGACGACTTCGTTACCGATCAGGACAGTATTTGTGTCTGTCCCCTTGGATCGCAGCAACAATGCAGGAGTCCTTTTCAGGGCTCTTGGTAGCGTCCTATGCTAAGTCATTTTATATGGCGCACATAACCTAGTCACAATTATAACCTAAAGCGCCCTTTTTGGGGATACTGGTTGAACGTGACGTTTCTTTATTTACTTTTTCGATCACAGAACCTAACATGTTTTTTAGGTAAAGACGCGTGAGGAGGAAGCCATGCACAGTGGGTTTTAGCCAATATTGAAAAATCATCTTTTTCTTCTTCACTTCCTCTTTTACCGCTGTGGGTGTCGAGGGAGATATAAGGTTCTGTCTCTAGCTCTTCTGGCCGCCTCGACCATAGGCACATCGTGCTGTTGTAGAGTTTCTCTGATGTTATCCTTTCATATTGTTCTTGGTCTACCCCGTGCTCTACGTCCTTCTTCTCTTTCCATGTATGCTTTGTTTAGTATGGTGTCACAATGGCATTCTCTCTAAGTTGGCAAACCATTTCACCTGTTATCTTCGTATGTAATATTGAGAAATGATAATAATAATAAAAAATAATAATATTGTTCCTAATATCAATACGTTTACTGGCAAATAAATACAGCAATATACTTAGGATAATATAAAACGAATAAACTAATAATTTTAAAGAAAACTTCAATATATAGATGAAGGTACCGCTTAGCTTGCTTACAATATGCATGTGTGTGTGAACAGGGGTTGGGGTGTGGCTTAAGGGGCTGGAATCCCCAGGTTTGGGAACCTATTATGTGTACTATTTGTGTATGTCATCATGCTAACTCTTCCTCATCCGAAAAGGACTGCAGGTTATACTGGGAGGATGTAGGTTTCCTTCCGAAAAAAAAAAAATCGCTACTTTCAATCACCATTCCCAAAGGGAGAGTTGTTGGTTAAAACTGTGACTTGGGCAGCATTTACAACGCTAACTTTGCTCGCCATGAGGCAGCCCTGAAAAGGTCTCTTGCAGTGTCGATGCAATCAAATAAGACAGACCCAAATACTATCCCGACCGGCCAGCCAATGAGCTGATAACTGATGTTGCTGTTACTGATGTCCTATTTACAACTTAATACTAGGAATTTCGTTATTCCTTTTGTGGGATGCAATGTTTCATTATTGTGAAGCGCCACCCTAGCTGTTCCTAGGGCCACAATATAGCCTGACGGTTGAACGTGGTTTCCGTGATCTCTCCACGGGTGATCGTTATCCGCATGGTGGCACTTTGTGTCACCAGGCGTTTATGGCTCTGTGTGATGTCCTGGTGGGGTAAAATTTACATACTTACTTTAGATTTTTTTTTTGGAGATTTAATGGAGTATTTGCGATCTAAGTTTTTAAATTGCCATCTAAAGTGTGATTTTCTAGTGTCAGTGTGTCAACATTTCATGGAAGGAGGGGATGGGGCGGGGGAGGGGGTGGGGCAGAATATACATCATGTATGTGTGTATTATTACTTCATTTGGCTCTACGGAACATCAATCCGGTCATCCTTGTACCAGGTGATATTCTCTACCAACCAATCAGGAGTTGTCCGGTATTCCCGAGTAGCCATGTCGAAGCTGGCTATTGTCAAGCCGGAGGTGCTCGACACCTGGAGGTATTGTTTCACAGGTTTGTAGAGGTGCAGCTGGAAGGTTTTCCCATCAGGTTCTCTGTAGTACGGAACCGTCCTCAGACTCTGGACGATGATCTCTGGCTCGGTGGCTCGGAAGTCTGGGGTTCGCACGTTGTTGATTTCTAGGTAGAGTTCGGAGTTCTTTCCCTTGAATCTGGCATCGGTTTCCTGATTTAAGAAAATACGTAGACGTTAAATACAGTCATGAAAGAGAGAGAGAAAGAGAGAAGAGAGCGAGAGAGAGAGAGAGAGAGAGAGAGAGATAGAGAGAGAGAGAGAAAGAGAGAGAGAGAGAGAGAGAGAGAGAGAGAGAGAGATAGAGAGAGAGAGAGAGAGAGAGAGAGAGAGAGAGAGAGAGAGAGAGAGAGAGATAGAGAGAGAGAGAGAGAGAGAAGAGAGAGAGAGATAGAGAGAGAGAGAGAGAGAGAGAGAGAGAAAGAGAGAGAGAGATATCGTCTGCCGCTATGAAAGTGTTCCTCTAACCCAAGTGCTTAAAGTATGCAATCATGGATATAAATATATATATAAAGACAGCTCCGAAGACCAGGTAAGCTAAAGTTAAGGCAAATAGACCAGAATACAGAACAGATGCTATCTAGTTCACCAACAAAGGGCACATTCCTACTTCTGCACGTACAGATTAAATTTTTTAAAACCATATTTTCACAAGTATAAGATGCACTTAATTTTTTTCTTTATAAAAAAAAAAGGGCAGTGAGGAGTGAGGGGAGGGGATATACAAAAACAGTTTGCGTCTTTTACAATGGTAGTTCATTATTTTCCCCCAAATTTGCCGGTTCGGAAATCATGGTGCGCCTCAAATATGGCAGAAGATGAACGCAGAAGAAAGAAGAAATGGCTGCATTTGACCATGTAACCTGTTCGTGTTCGATAGTTCTCAAAACATGTTGGGAGAAACCCTCCTCTTTCAAAAATGCCTACATTCTAACAGCAACGTTACCAGTGTATTTTAAACACTTCTTTATCCTTCGTCATCCCCGTGTGAGATGCAGTTGTTTTGAAGCCCCACCCTGGCTTTTGCCGGGGGCCCTAAACATTTAGCCGGGGCCCTAAATATGGCCTAACGGCTGAACGGGGTTTCCGGGACCTCTCCAAGGTTGATCCTCATCCGGCACTTTGTGTTACCGGGTGTTTATCGCTTGTGTGATATCCTGTGGGGTACAACCAACCTTTCTACCAGTGTATTTGTATACGGTTATAGTACAATAGTAAATTATATTTGCATGACATGAGTTGTAGGAACAAATAACTATGTGTTGATGCTCTGAATAAAGCATTCAGCCATCTCTTGCATGTCTCCATTATCTATCTCATCTTTTATGACATACTTACTTCATCAGATACCGAATATGTGCCTTTTTTTTTCCTAATAATTATAAAAACAATCGTTCATCTGTGTCTTTCCGTCTATACTATTTCGTTTATCTAACAAATTGGTACAAATCTTTCCAGCATTGACTTTTATTCTCCTTACCAGCGAAAGGTTGTATTTGGTTCTAACCTTTGTGACACAATCTGTCTATCACTTCACATACTTTGTAATGCGAGCGATCTCGCCCATGACACGTTCCTCGTGTACTGCTCTCACAGTGTCACTACCATGTGACTGACAAAACTATGCCAAGATCCAATGTCGTTATTTCGAAAACAATATCGGGGCGTATCCCCGTCCAAATCATTGAGTATGAGAGTACACTCTTGAACTGCATAAGCATCTCAGTTATTACATAGGACGAAAAAAAATTTAAACAATTTACTACGAAAAAAATAAAATATTACTAGGATGTCTGTGCACTGTAACCCACAGGCTAGAAAGAAAGGCAGACACAATCCATGTGAATATCAATGAGTATGGGAGTGAAGTCTTGAATTGCAGGAGCATTTCAATTGTTACATAAGACGTACAAAAATAAATATTATAATAGGATATAATAAAATGTAACTGCAATATAACTAGAATGTCTTGCACTGGAACCCACAGGGCGATAGAAATAACAGAAAAAGCAAAAAAAACAACACACACACAGAAAGCCCAAGAGAAGGGAGCTAGAGAATGAAGTTAAAAACTTAGGGATGACACTGGGTGAGCTGCATGCCATACCAAAGAATTGGACGGCTGATGTGAGCTGTTTGAAGACCAACGCTCTGTTATAGCATAAAGAACAGAATAAGCAAAGAACAAAGAACGAGCGTATTGGGTCTGTTCACGCTTGCGAGGTTACTGAGAAAGAGACGGGCGCATCTATGCTTCAGTCCGAATTCCAATGATCTTACTTCTCACAAATCACTAATTTGAAAACATGTACCTGAATGTCCAGCTTGACTCGGAGAGTGGCAACTTCCATGGAATGCAGAAGGTCAATTGGTTTTCCTAGGGTGTAGTTCTTGTATTTGTCCATACTCAGCAGAGGCGTCCAAGGTCGAGTGTCAACAGACCACGTGATCTGGTGGTTTTCTGAAGTTTTAGCCGATAACTCGCCGTTTTCTACGAAATATAGGAAACTGCGTACCATGCCTGGGAATAAAGAAGGTTATTGTTACTTGTCTGCCATGTATCCCTACTATAATTTAGTTGTGCTCTGTGTACAGAAAACAGTTAAAACAATTTGAAAACACATGCCTGAGAACACTGATAAATCTTTAAGACCTTAAACGAAAGCAAAAACGAAGTAGAGTTAGTCGACAAGCTTTCATAACTATTAGAGAATCAAATGGCTATACTAACAGAAAAGGTGAAGGTCGAGCTAAAATTTTAAAGCAATGCCCTTTTAAAAGGGTCACGTAAACCTTAGGCGAAAGAATTTGAGAAACAACACACAGTCCATTTATACAGGTGTTGACTGTTATGAGTTAGAGTTAGATTATCTTCACAGCACTCCGGACACACCCATAGGCGCTCAGATTCCCCTCTCAACATATTCATCAGCATCGTGCGGTTAATAGTACCAGTCCTATGTTGGTTAACAAGATTTCGTGTGCGTCCAGTGTGCTTCTCATGCTTGGCTGTGCCGATCTTTACTCCCGATTTGCGTATTCTTAGAAGTGATGTGGACACGTTGCTTCTAAAATCCTCAGAACGTCCTATCTCTCTAAGGGTAATGACAATGTCTACTTGATCCATGGGCCAGCCATCGTCAATTAATGCAGTGCCTGCCAGTCTATCAGCTCTCTCATTGCCAACAACGCCTGCATGCCCTGGGACGAATATAAAAGTAACTGCACACACAGGATAATTTTGCAATGACTCAAGCCACTGTCTGCGTAACCAGCCTGCCTCGACAGGTGTTGACTGCAGGCGGTTCGGGCTCAGTTTCCAGAAAATGAGATACGTACGTTAGAGTAAGCTTTCAAACTGGACAGTGAAGAAGGTTTTGTTTGATTTCCAGTGGCTCGGGAAGGGAGCAGTTGTGAGGCAACTAGTTTGCAGTGACGTTTAAACCTCAACTGACGACCAACGAAACAAACCTGTTGTGTGGACCAGCCTGTAGATCTGTCTAGTTTTGGTGTTGAAGAATGTTCTGTCCAGCCCTGTTCCACCTCTTCTTGCCATTTCAGCAGATGTCTGGGCCACTATGACATCATCCGGTGAAACAAGAACCGAGTTGGCTTCCAAAGTGTATCCCTGTTGGTGAAAGAAAGAACTCTGTTACTACACCACACGTTATGTCTGTCTGTGTGTCTGCATGCATTCATGCGCGTATGCATGTGTATATGTCATATGTATGATTGATTGGCACCTTTCCATCTTTCCAGACGATAGTGTTATATATTGCGCGATGAGGAGGCATGGTCTCACAGCCCATGGCGATTGCGAGTGTGACTAGCGAGACTATGTTTCCTGCACCATCTCTTCTGGTTTCGATTTGAAGCTATTCATAAACATTTCGTTTCACAGGTAGTTTTTGCTGTTGATGTTCTAGTCTGTTCTATGCTGTTTTATACATGTAATTTATACAAACTAACCTAGGAGGCTAATGAAGTCCAACAAAAAGCAAGGTAACATTGACATCATAAAAGCTGACCTAGAGGTCGACCACACTAGCCATAGATAGATTGGATATCCAAAGCCTAAATACCAATATCTCTGCACACCAAGACACAGCCGACGCCTCTTCAAAACCTGACAGTGAAAGCAGAACATGATTAGGGCAGAGGAAGAAGGAGAAGAAAAAGAAGAAGAAGACGACGAAGAAGAAAAAGAGGAAGAAGAAGAAGAAGAAGAAGAAGAAGAAGAAGAAGAAGAAGAAGAAGAAGAAGAAGAAGAAGAAGAAGAAGAAGAAGAAGAAGAAGAAGAAGAAAAAAGAAGAAGAAGAAGACAAAGAGGAGAAAGAGCAGGAAAAGGAGGAGGAAGAGGAGGAGGACGAGGAGGAAGAGGAGGAGGACGAGGAGGAGTGAGGGGAAGAGGAAGGGGAAGAGGAAGAGGAGGAAGGGGAAGAGGAAGAGGGGGAAGGGGAAGAGGAAGAGGAGGAAGGGGAAGAGGAAGAAGAGGAGGAAGAGGAGGAAGAAGAGGAAGAAGAGGAGGAAGAAGAGGAAGAAGAGGAAAAGGAGGAAGAAGAAGAGGAAGAGGAGGAAGAAGAGGAGCGGGAAGAAGAGGAGGTAGAGGAAGAATATAAAGAAAAAGAAAAAACTAGACGAATGCAACCATCCACGTTTACTTAGTTTCGATTCCCGAGCTTGGTGGTTTGGAAAACGACCGTTCTCATGGCTTGCAGACAATGCTAGGAGTGTCGCACCGTGTAGTAGATTAGGACCTCGCCTTCAAATATTTCCACAGTTTGGGGTGGATAGACTGCTGCCATGGAATCGCCGTGGTGTAGCGGCTAGAAGCCCGCCTGTGGATCTTAAGTCGACGGTTCAGATCCTGAACGATACGGACTTTTTCTACCTTGACTTCTATCTCGACCCAGCCTAAAAATAGGTGCCAGATAAAATTTAGGGAAACAAACAAGGCCGGCGTGATGTTAACCACCGACCGATTGCCAACTGGTATATCTATCTATTGTCTTCTTCACTTTTACCGGGTTGCAGCCCAGTGTCGTGATTTAAAATATTTGTTTTGTGCTGCCAACTGGTATATAAAAGCCCTAAATTACCAATTTGCCCGGAGGCGTAAAAAAGCGTCCCTCACGTGAATTTTTCCATTTCAGACAACTTCCATTGCGGAGACAGCATAATTTTTTTTTTTTTTTACATAATACTTGTAATATAATATCATTAAATATATATATATATAATATATATATATATATATATATATATATATATATATATATATGTAATGATGCTATAAATAGGGATGATAACATCAGGGGACGACTGGCATAATTGGGTAAGTCACTGATAGCATGGGTTTCACGGAGATATGGTGAAAAGACAAGAGTGAGTGAGTTACGTGTGGATGCGAGATCTGGGGGATTGAGAATGAGGTGGTGATTCCGTCTGGGCCCGTAGACTGGAAGGATGTGAAGCTGAATCTGTGAAGGTGAATCCAGAATAAAGAGTGCACGTGGATCTAAATCAGAGTCGAATAATTGATCGTGAAGGCCAGCCTTTGTGTTACACGGTTTGATTGTTGAGCCAGCCGTGTATATGCCAGTGTCCATCGTCTGAAGCATGTCTGGAGCCTTAATGCGTGAGCAAGGCGAGATTGCCCAAATGTGTAAGTTGGTTCATCTATTGATTCGTGTCTTGTGCTACAGTAATAATAAACCTGTGAAATGTGTCAGCTGGTGTCGACCGTCGTTTGAAGTTGTGTGGCCGTGGAGAGAAATGCCGTCTGGTTAGAATGAGCTGTGACCTAACACCTAGACAACAGAGTCAGTGTCTAATCTGCACTAGAGAGATCAAGTGTGGAGGAGACACAAGTACATTCATTACATATATATATATATATATATATATATATATATATATATATATATATATATATATATATATATGTGTGTCTTACATCAAAATGTACGCGGACTCTATGACCCATTTTGACGTAGAATTTGAGCACGTCCAAAACACCGTCAATCCTTGTTCCGTTTTTATCGTGGACATAAACGATGCTCCAACATGAGTCAGCAAACCATTGCAGGGCAACGAAGTCGTTGGTGTGCTTCAGAGACTGCATCCCTCCCACTGACCACCTGGCCGAGTCTCTTCTACCTGATAGGTAATATAAGATAGTTTGGCTATCTTCCGAATAACGGTCCCAAACGAGGGCGAAAATATACCCCAACAGGTGCTCAGTCACGTGTCAATTTCGGACTTCCGCCACCGCCGAGATTGGGGCTAAACTAGATGCTTAGTTTAGCAAGGATTCACTAGCAAATAAAATAAAGGAAGCTGCAGGAGATGCGGTAGATGCTGCTCGTGAGTCCCAGCCATCTAGTTTAGCCCTAATGGGAGATACCTTCGGCGCTGGCGGTAGTCGCCGGAAGTGCGCAATTTAAGTCACCAGACGTCCGTAATTGACACGTGACTGACGCCCTGTTAGGGTAAATTTTCGGCCTCGATAATTTGGGACCGTTATATTGAAGATAGCGGATAGTTTATATTTATTCACACAAATTTATAATGCATAATAAAACATAGATATATTGGACACACTCTTAGATGAAATGAGCAAAGAATGCCAGAACCAGCAGTGAAACGGGAAACAAACGGTCTGAGAAAAATAGGATGTCCAAGAGAAACATTAAAAAGAACATTGTTAGAAAAGGAGAGAAAAAACAATATTGCTGGGCTGAACTCTGTGTCAGAAATCGAGAAAGTTGCATGCAATAGAGCGGAGTGGATGAATAGAATGCAAGCCATATGTGACGTCTAACGGGTTGTGACGAGGAGGAGTATTTACGTATATGTACATACGCACGCACGCACACGCACAAACACACACACACACACATACATACATATATAATGTGAATACAAAAGGTCTTATGATACACATTAATTCATTATTAACACCTGTTTTAGGGTTTTGCTGGTGTGGTACGTCTCTGAAAGGTCACGGACATCTATCTGCACCTTTGACCTGACTCGAGACATGCAAACAAAACGAGCGCGCGGTGTCGTGACTAATTTGCACTCATTCAAGTTTTACCACGCTGGATGTATTTCAAACAGGGGTCGTATACAAAGGAAACGTCATGCGACTAAGCATAACGTATACCAAGTTGAACGTACATTTAACGAAGTATGCCTAGATACCAGCGTATTTTTGTACAGAGCAATGGACAGATGGTGGATCATGTATATGTTACTACATTTTCTGTATCCTTGTTAGGCTCCTTCGAACTGAAAGCCCCAGATCAATAATATATCTTTAAAAAAAAAAAAAAAAAAACTGCGGCAATGTGGAACCAAACCTAAGACCTCCCCGCGTGGCTTACCCGCCCTATTGTATGGAAAACAGTAATAGATTCACTGGCTTCTCAACAAGCATGTCGCAGAAGTCGACTAATTGGGGAATTCCTTCTTCGAAGTCGGAGTGCATCTGCCGGAGCGGCAAGGAACAACCAACTAGACACAATTCAGCCAGTAAAACGGATGTACACTCAAAACTCAGGCCCTTCCATAAAGCCAAAGCTCAAATTGAGGACAAACATCCAAGACTTTCTGCCGGATCCTACAGCCAGTAAAAGCCAAGAACTTCGCGCTGGCAGGCAAACATCTAGCCACCAGACAACAAACATCTAGCCACTACCCTATAAACATCTAGCCACCAGACTACAAACATCTAGCCACCAGACTACAAACATCTAGCCACCAGACTACAAACATCTAGCCACCAGACTACAAACATCTGGTCACCAGACTACAAACATCTAGCCACCAGACTACAAACATCTAGCCACCAGACAACAAACATCTAGCCACTAGCCTATAAACATCTAGCTACCAGACTACAAACATCTAGCCACCTTACTACAAACATCTAGCCACCAGACTACAAACATCTAGCCACCAGACTATAAACATCAAGACACCAGACTACACACAAACATCTAGCCACCAGACTACAAACATCTAGCCACTAGCCTATTAACATCTAGCCACCAGACTACAAACATCTAGCCACCTTACTACAAAATTCTAGCCACCAGACTACAAACATCTAGCCACCAGACTACAAACATCAAGATACCAGACTACAAACACTCCCAATGTTCCTATAACTCATTTTAGACTCAAGAGACTATCTTCGCTTACACCCCAGGGCAGACAGGTAAAGGAAAGAACTGACTAAGTGTCTGTGTCTGCAATGGGCAGAGAAGGAAGAAGAATTGACAGTGTACATATTCTAAATGCGCTGCGTTTCAGAGATGTTGAGATAGCGAATCAGATAAGATGAATCGCCTGTTGGAAATGAGTAATAATTAAACTGATAAACGTGCAGAAACCGGTTGTGGGATAAAAAAAGGTTTATTTAGGTTTAGGTTTAGACAACAGATCAACATAATGGTACAAGGGTTAACCCGTAAGTGCTCCGTTCTACTTCTGACTCAAGCCTGAGTCAAAAAAATCAACGTGCAGTGCACGAACTCCTTATTACCGGTGAGGATTCTGAAATACTTTGGGTAGACTTTTAACTCCAAATTTTGTCCGGACAACGCCGTTAGGCTACTATTTTCGATTTCCAACTGCCAAGGGATTTTTTACATGCTCAACGATACCCTCGGTCGTCCGATCTTACTGCCCAGAGACCAGGGGAAATTAATAGAAGTCCTTGTGAAAAAAAATCCCAGCCTTCAACGGGGCCTGAACCCGGGATCTCCAGCACTTGAGGCGGACGTCATGCCTCAAGACCTCGCAGCTCCCGCAAAAGAAAGAAGATATGCTTGTCAACTTCTACAATAGGATAACTGCTACATCAGAGAATAGAGCATACATCGATTGGACTGATGCGCTGGGATGTCGATACGAACAACTAATAACAAAGCACACTAACAGAAAACTCCTAGCATACCTGTTGTTTCCCACGAAGACAGCCAGTGATATGGTTGCTCCCTGAAGGTGATTCCTCCGTTGCTGGTGTAGCTTTGGCTTATGTGGCTAAGACTCTGGCCGCTGATGTGTGTTGAATCCTGCTGTATATGCGTGTTCTCCATGGTGAACGAGTAGCCACGATCGCGCATCACCCCACGCATCTCCGACTGCACGTTTTTGTGGTAACGATGGAGAAGACAAATTTTGAGATGTCTAGTAATGTAACAGCACTTAAAGTAACATTAGGCTTTCGGCTACTCTTATTCAAAGTTACCTGAAGAAATGAATGTGCCGGTACTCACCTAAAGTGTCTCAAAATGATACCGGTATTTACCACAAAATGCTTACTACGGTAAGTGAGGTAAAGGACCTTTCTGTCATGCGGGCATATAAGAGAATCGTCGTGGCCTGGCAGCTAGACGTTTACGTGGGGATCGGAAGGTTGTGGGTTCGCTCCCTGGCGGAGCCAGACTTTTTTTCAAAACCGACCTTGACCCCCAGGTCGACTCAGCCTTGAGTGGGTACCGGAAGCCGTCCTGGAAAGTAAAGGCGGCCGGCGAGATGCTGACCACATCACCCATTTTGTGCTGATTAGTCTATAAAAAATATAGGTCTAGCCAATACGCATAAAGGCGTGAAAAACGAACCTCAACATTTAATATTAGGCATATAGGGCTAGACCTATATTTTATAGACCAACAGGCACTTGATGGGTGATGTTGTCAAAACCACGCAGGCCATCATTACTTCCTAGGACTTTATCTCATACCCATTCAAGTCTGGGTCGACAACGGAGACAAGATTATTTATTAAAAAGTGTCTGGCTTCGCCAGGAACTGAATCCCCGACCTTTGGTTCCGCAGAGGAGCTTCTAATCACTGCACCACAGCGGCTCCCGTCTGTTACGGGAGCGTTTAGATAAAATAATGCCCAAAATAAAAAAGCTGCCTATAGGACAGGCAGTCTTAAAACTAGGATGACCATAATATCTTGAGCTGAAAAAAAAGGGCATCCCACTTACATTTTGATCTGAAAATGGAACATTTCGCTAATATCTTGAGCTGAAAACAGGACATCCCACTAATTTTCGGAACTAATAACAGGACATCTCAAGAATGTCAGTTTAACACCAGTCCACTTGTATTTTTCTGCGCCATTAGACTAAAAGGGTTAATCACTCGCTCAAGAATCCAGAACCTGAAACACTGTCACCAAGATGTCAGCGAAACAACATACTCGTTGCCTGAACTGAAAGGCAAGGAACATGCTACAATGAAATTTCCCAAGCCTTAAAAGTATATGTCTGGTGTGTGTTTTATTTCTGGAGCTAATTCCACGATTGTTTTAAAATTGTTTGCTTGCATGCTTGCTTGAAAAAGAAAAAGAATAATTTGATCACGTTTAGGTATTTTCAGCTGTAAAGCTGATACCTATGTTTGTGATCTTTATTAAGTTTAAATTGTTTGAATATGGTTTCCTTCGGTTCCATTTGGTTATGTTGTTCTAAACGGTTTGACTGATGTTGTTTCTCACTTGTATAAAGTTGTTCTTTACCTGATGTTTTTGTATCCGGAGGCAAGGGTCTTCTATTTCTTAATTGTGTCTCTTTTTTCGTTCTTGACTATGGTAGGACACATCTGTATATTGCATTTGTCCTACCATAGTCAAGAACGAAAAAAGAGACACAATTAGGAAATAGAAGACCCTTGTCTGTTAATAATTGAATAAATGCCGTTTTTATGGAGTACAGACTGGACGACCGATACCTACTGACGGGACGTCACTCCAGGCGGGTTGCCGCAGAGCCACTCTGTTCCAGTTGAAATCCGAAAACCTGTCCTTCCCGTCCCATATGAAAATTACTTGCTGAAGCCAGCAAAATCGTCCAACTTGCACACGTAAAACAAAAATGCATAAGGCAGTTGTCAGAAGTGCCAACACTAACGGTCCCACCCAGAATTGCTGCTTACTGTTGGTGCAGATGGTTAATTATAAAAACCGGCATTGCAATCCGCAAAAGCACATGCGATTCTGAAAGTAATCGGTCACCCGTCTTTTTAATGCAGCCGACAACACGCTGTGGGACACACACACACGCACACATACATTCACGCACGCATTCACCATACTACAATTTCCACATAAAAAGAAACAGCTCACAGTGTCGCACCAACCAGTCTTCTTCAAACTTTTTTGAATATTCCCCATTTATCGGTACAGCAATAATTAACACGGACAACAGAGAGAATTGCCCTCTCATACCTTGACCGCCATAGTTCGAAAATTGTCCGTGACCCTGCTGCTGGTGGAGCCATCTATATAGCGCGAGGTCACTGGCTTATGCTCCGGGCTGTAGTCCTGTATGAAAAGGTGGCAAAATTCAATTGTTTTGAATTTAATTTCACAGCAGTATTCTTGTTTTTGGTCCTGTGGAAGTAAAGATGGCCGGCGTAATGCTGACCACATTACCCGTCTAGTGCCGATTGGCCTGTAAAAATATAGAATACTCTTCCCATATATATGCCCGATGCCGCCTAAAGGCGTGAAAAGGGATCTTTACTTCTTTGTTCAAATTTCTTGTTGTTCTAGTTACACGTCAATAGTTTGCAAGGAGTATTTAGTAAAAAAAAAATTAAAGCTAACGACCCTTTTCTACGCCTTTAGGTGTATAGGGTATATAGGGCTAGACCTATATTTGTATAGACCAATCGGCACAAGATGGGTTATGTGGTCAGCATCACGCCGGCCGCCTCTATTTCCCAGGACTGTACCTGGTACCCACTCAAGCGTAGGTCGACCTAGGAGGAGTATTTAGTGCATACAGTCAATTACCATCAAACATGCAAATGCATGTAAATACTTAAAACGGTACTTCAATTTTAATTCATCCCAAACAAAGCTGGTAACTATATTAACGGTAGCTATTTTTATTAGCACGGGTTAAATTTAACGTTAAGGGTTATGGATTAGGGTTTAGTATTAGGATTTGCGATTCGGGTTGGGTTTAGCAAAACACACATTTTTAAAATAAAACCGAAAAAAACCCACACATGAAAATACCTTGATGTCACGGGATGCGTTTGAACTATCACGGGCAATCTCGGTTTTCCTTCGTTTAGGGTGAATAAATATTGAAATACCCTTATAGCGTAGCTGCCTAAATATTTTATCTAAATGTAAAATAGTAAAGTTATAATAGATATCTTTTTTAGTGGGGGTTACATTAGGCATATATAATTGGAAAGGGGGTGGGGGTGTCGGCCTTAGCAGCCTTAGAGCGTGCTTCTGCACCTATGGCATTAATATTATAATTACTACAGCTAATTACTCAATATGTTTTATATAATGTAATTTAATATAATAGAATTTTAATTATAAGTGTTGACTATAAAAAAAAAAATTAATAGTAAACGGATATATGTTGTAGTTATCCGTTACCTTTCAAGACTTATCCGCGTACCCGTTTCGGCTGGGTCTAACTAGAAGCGAAAGTTAAATTATTTTTTTTAATTTAAATTTCATATTTGCGACGCAGATTGGAACCTAGAGTTTTCAGCTAACATCTATCAATATGCGACCATGGCTTCCCCATCAAATCACTGATAACAAGATTAAAAGTAACAATTATGGGAATTGCATGTGTTACTTCTTCTTAGGTCGTCACATTGTTATCGGGTTGTTTCCCAGTGAAGTAGTTTTACCTTTGACTCGCTCTATTCGAGTGGTCTGAATGATGATTTAATTTAATTTAATTTCATGAAGTCAGCTAGTCCTCTATCCATTTCTTTCTTGGTCTTCTATTGTCCTCCGCTCAGGTGGTAGAGTGGCACACATACAGTTTAGTCTGGGAGCATTTCTTTAATATGGCCAAACCACTTTCTTATCTGTCTTTCAATGTAATTCAGACACGGTCTTGTTTCAGTCTTCCTACTACTGCAACTGTCGGCTCTGTGGCTAAGTCGATGCGAACGCTTCGTAATGCCAGGGTACCGGGTTCGATCCCAGCTGCAGGGTCATACGCCTGGCGTTGGTTTCGACAGTGGTATCAGGTAGCTGACCGTCCAGTAAGCGATGGCAAACTACTGGACGTAATTTGCCTAGTGAAACCACACAACAGCTAGGGGCTGATGGGGTTGGTTCTGCAACGTCCTGTAAAGGATACGCAACTAACCTTTAACTACTGCAACTATTCGTCGCCATGTTCCTTGTTATGTTAAGGATGACATTTCACAGACAGTTCATTTCGCCAGTGTGTGTGTGTGTGTGTGTGTGTGTGTGCGCGTGTGTGTGTGTGTTTTATTCCTCTGTCCCTATGACCTACTCAATGCCAACGATTTGCACTGATATCACAACGTGTGGTATGAACATGCTGTTTATTCATCTTTTTTTTTCAGCACAGGGACCATTTTCTATGCTTTCATGCATATAGTGCTAGACTTATATATTTCCTAGACCGATTTACACTCGGTAGGTGTTTGGGCACATCACGATAAATGTCTTTATTTTGCCAACGGTTGTTTAGCTGAAAGTTATACATTTTGGTGCCTGAAAAACAGTCCTAGCCGGTATGTGAAACCATTTGCACTGAAGGCCAATCACGATAAATTACAAAACGACTGCAAAAGGCGCTTTGAAAGTAATGCTGACAGTACCTTGAATTTTGGGGGTGGGAGGGGGGGGGGGGGGGGTATTTAAGTACATAATTTGAATTACGGAATATCTGTATAAGTTAATTTGAATTTACAAATTAAAACTTTGAGGATCAGTTTTATGCAGCTAAATAAACATTTAATGGCTAGTTTCATTTTGTTCGTGAACATTCAAAATTCCATTTGCTTTTCAATTGGTTTTTCTTTAAGTAGCTGTGCATGAAGTCATTTTCTGTTAAAAATATACAGCAAATACATCCATAACATTTCTGGCATGTTAAAAAACACCAGGCACTTCTCAGGAACGGAAATTGCCGATTTTCGAATGCTAAGCCTGGATTGGCATGTCGTGGTTTTCCCGGACTTCTCTTGAAAAGCTAATTTAGGATAAATTTAATTTAAAGGCATGCCAGTAGAATATTCGAAACTGCTAAATTATCTTTGCGATGGAGAATATAAGTAAAAACAGGGAGAAGAATACAATAAAAATGTGTATGGGAAGATTAATCAACTGAGGAATGATCAAAGCCTAAATAATATAAATTTACTTAAAACATCAATGACAAAGATGGTGGGAAAGTAAGTTTCCCTATGTCTACTGCAGACGTGCATGAAGAAGAAAAATGATGAGGAGGGTAAAGAACAGAAGAAGAAGAAGATGTTATAGCAGTAGTAGTAGTAGCAGCAGCAGTAGTAGTAGTGGTGGTAGTAGTAGTAGTAGTATTAGGAGTAGTAAAAGCAGCAGTGGTGGTGGTGGTAGTAGTAGTATAAAGTAGAAGTTGTTGCTAATGTTGTTGTTGTAGATGGAGAAGGAAGAGGGTGCTGAAAAAAACGATGGTGAATTGTGAAGGGGAGGGAAGGTAATTTCAATAATTCAATAATAATAATAATAAAATACAGCTTCATTTACTCGTGTTCTGAAGGTCACCGTGTCAACTTGCCAGGTTTTTGATTTCACGCTGTTGTCCCAACGGCCAGCAGAGTAATTCAGGTAGCTGACAAACCCATTGTTACACACGATTATTGGTTGGTATTCCACGTCAGGACCAATCGGGTACGACATTCGCTCTACTGCCTGTTTGGAAAATATCAAAGAAGTTACTTTTTCTTCGGCCTTCTTTCCCCCATTAGGTCTCAGGGCACTAAACAACCCACGCTAAGTCGTTCTATACTTCGCCATAGCTTGCAGCTCTCTTCATGTCCTTTCTATCTGTTTAACTTCCCTCACTAGCTCTCTTCTCCATGTGATTTTTGTTAAGTCTTCCTCAATTTCTATGCTCCTGTGGGTTCCAGTGCAAATGCATTCTAGTTACATTGTCCTCAGGTTTGCTCGGAATTGTCTTATCCAATGCCAGCGTCGTTTCTTCACTTCTTGATCCATTGGAACTTGTTTTGTTCTCTCCCAAAGCTCTACAATAGTGATTCCATCATACCATTTAATTCCCTATATTCTGCGCAAGCACTAGTTAATAAATGTTTGTAGTTTACTGGTAACTGTCTTAGTTGTTCTCCATGTTTCCGCTTCATACAACAATACTACTTTAATATTATAATTTAAAATGTTAAGTTTAGAAATAATTTTAATTTCTTTTGACCTCCACAGATTTCCTAGTGCTGTGAAAGCTTCTCTTGCTGTTTGTATTAGTATTTTAATACCTTTGTCAGTTTCTTCATATTTTTTTATATTACTGCTGAAATAGGTGTACGACTCTCTATCTTGAAGTGGGATACCATTAAAAGAAACCGCATTACTATTTGCTAGGGAATCTCTCTAGAAATTATTGGGACACTATGGAATCATACAGGAAACTGTTAACTTAGTATAGGCAACATATAAAGATATATAATGGCGAGTTATCGTGAGAGAAAGCTTACAGATACGTTTGAAATAAAAACAGGTGTGCTATTTTAGCTGGCAATAGACTGGATTATGAAGACAGCAACTGCTAACGCCAGGTATAGAATTCAGTGGACCCCTAGAAAACAGCTTGATGATGTTAAATTCGCCAATGATATTTCTTTTTTTTGTCCAACTCACGGAATCAGTTGCAAGATAAATAAAATATACTCGATGCGAGATCACAACATCTAGGTCTGAAAATCCATAAGAAGTTTTTGTTGAACTCCCCCCCCCCTTCCCATCTACTTACGTATGGATCTGGACACAGATGTTTTGAGTAGCACAAAGATTAATAACTAAATAAAAACAAATTTTAATATTCAAGTCAATCATCTGATCAATCAGTAAATCAGTTGATCAGCCAATGTATGATATTTTTTACGTTTGATTTATACAACAGGTCAACACCATGGCACAAGGGTATTAACCCGTTAGTGTTTCGTTCTACTTCTAACTCGAGCCTGAATCCGATGTATCTCAGCGCGGTGCACGACCTCAGATGCACTGGTGAGGATCCTGAAATATTCTGAGCAGATTTTCAACTCGGGCAGCGCCGTGAGGCTGCTTTTTTTTATTCCCACCTGCCAAGGGATGTTTCACGTGCGCAACAATACACTCGGGCGTCCGATGTTACTACCCAGAGACCAGGGGAAATTACTGGAAGTCCAACTGAAAAAATCCAAGCCCTCACTGGGGCCTGAAACCGGGACCTCCAACACTCAAGGCGGTCGCCATGCTTCGAGACCACTCAGCCCCCGTGTAGTCAACACAACAATGGTTGGCTGCCCTTGGTCTGTAACACACTCTGTCTATCCTGTCCTGATTGCAGACTCTCTCAGAGTGCTGCCTGACAACCTTTTATCATGGTGTGGAGGGTATCGGTACATGAGCTGATAGATGCTGTTGTAGATGCCAGCACTGAAAAATGCTGTTGGATATAGCAGGTTAAGGAGAAGCATGCTCGCCCATATCAGTCGGCAAAGCACTTTATAATGATGATTTTTGTAATGCTGATAATGGTGATGCCGGGAATCGTTTACCATCACTTCCATACAACAGTACTGATTTGATATTAGAATTTAAAATGTTGCTGGGAATCGTTTCAGAACTTTACCCACAAGAACTTCACCTGCTACCCATTTAAGCCTGGGTCAACTTGGGGCCAAGGTCATTAAAAAAAAAGAAATCCAGCTTCGTCAGGACCCGAACTCACGACCTTTCTATCTACAGGCGAGCGTCTAGCCTCTATACTACTGCGGCTCTCCATTATCTACCGGTAAATATAAGATGTGATAAAGTCCTGCAAACATGTTGTATACCGTGTTCTATATTGAAACTTTGTAACTTAAATGTTTTTGTTTTTGTGTGACAAAGAGAAGGATCCTGGAAAACCTTGTCTTCCTGTTGAAACAGCAGTATCGTGCATTACCATTATTATCATTACCAGCACCATCACCACCACCACTAGCATCAGCCTCATCATCATTGTCTGGTGTATGGTGAGTTCCAGAAGTATATCAATGTAGAATTCAGGTAGTTTATTATGCAATAGTTGGAACAACATTCAGGCCCACCCACCGTGCAGTACTTCGAAACCGGCATGTGACCTAATATTGTGAGGTCCATTCTTCGACTTTCTACCTTCACAATGTCTAATATTTCCTGTTGCTCTTTCAAATTTGCTGCTATCAAGACTGTGTCACCAACATAAAGTAAATGGTTTATTTTATGCCCACCAACCAAAATTCCGGCAATATCAAGTTTCAAATTTCAAACCTGACGATACCATAATGAAATCATTCAATTATTTTTCGTCTCCACAGTAAACTTTGGCTGAAGTCCATCTCCATCACACTTTGTGTCGTGTTTCGTTAGTACACTATGTTAGAGTACTAGTCGACAATCTCTTGATCTTGTCCTAAAACTGTACGGTTGGCTACCTACTGCTATCTTGCCTTTGACTTTTCCGTTTAGTATGGTTTGTAAAGACAGTTACGATTTTTAATGTGGCCGAAATATCAATTTTTTTCTCTCTGTATTTGATTCTTATTGTTTCCATGAAATAGGAACCATTTCATTTCCCTGTATTTCAACCTATTCCTGCAATGAATTCGACTTTCTTGGTGTGTGATTATTAAAATATGTGTTAACTTGAATTCACAAAGAAGAATACACACAGCAGTAGATGTCGTAGGTTCGAATCCAAAGGGGCAAATTTTATATATATATTTTTTGGTGTCGGAAACATAGAGACTTGTCCTTACAGTTTAGAGCCAAAAATAGCTCCAACAGTTTCAACTGTATGCTGCCAACAGAGACACAAACTGGCCTGTTCCAACCTTAATTTAAAAAAGGCACAGAGGGCGATTTGGACAGAAGGATAGCTTTCATGAAGGCTTCTGGCCTCCTATATAAGTTTTATGACAGAAGAACTGAAGAAGAAGAAGAAGAAGAAGAAGAAGAAGAAGAAGAAGAAGAAGAAGAAGAAGAAGAAGAAGAAGAAGAAGAAGAAGAAGAAGAAGAAGAAGAAGAAGAAGAAGAAGAAGAAGAAAAAAAAGAAGAAGAAGAAGAGAGAAAAACAATGGGAGCTAGTCTCCTTTTCTAACTAATTTTAAAGTGCCGACCAGGAAGTGTTCCAGGAAGCAAAGGCGACCGGTGTGATTTTACAACACATCAGTTGACAGCAGGCGATTATGCCTAAAAGCCCAGCATTTAATGGCTAATGCCCCATTGGTGCGAGGAAGGTCCCCAACAATTTTATGCTCCAGTGAAAGATATTTGGCAGACCAGGATTGAATGTGGTTTTGTTATTGCAGCAAGACAAACTAGTGGGGGGAAGGAGCACGCATATGTCGGCATCGGATTTAACAGAATCCACCGATGGTGGCCAACGCATAAAGGTGTGTGAGTGTGCGCGCGTGTGTGTGTGCGTGCGTGCGTGTGCATGCGTGCAAGTGTGTGTGTGTGGGGTGTGTGAGGTATGTGTGTGTGGGGTATGTGTGGTATGTGTATGAGTGTGTGCCTGCGCGTTTGTAAAGAGAGAGGGAGTGTGTGTATGTGTTTGTGTCTGTCTGTGTTGCAGGCCGATTTTCTCCCAACATCATTTGCATACGACTGGCAGATATGAATACATAATTGGTCACCCAACCCTCTCGTGGTTAAATGTCGTATGTCAGTTCTGAAGAAAAAACATTTATGAACTTGCTTACATTGTGAATATTCGAAAGTAAACTGGGCTCGACTGGTGGGCACGTGCAAGGTGAACCAAGGAAACGTTTTATGTGCATAACTAAGTAACTGGAAAATAAAATCTAGAAATCCGAAGTATTCGGGACATCATAGTTGCGAATAATATTATCAAGACCAACTATTATAACTACATATTGAATGTAACAATAATGCGGTAAAGAACCCTTTTCTACGTCCCCAAGCGTATGGGAAAAAGGGGCTAGACCTATATTTTATAGACCAAACGGCGGTGGCCGTTGCATTTTTGCTCCATTTGTAGACTGGAAGGATGTAGTTTCGTCGCCCAGCTTCTGAGTTAAGTGCATGGCGTGACACTGTGAGCTGCGTTTGTTTTTCGTTGGCACAGGAGCGGAGCAACTGTGGGGTGACCCGTTTGCTATGAAGCTGAAACTAGGATTACCAGATTACCAGTTACCAGGCCAAACGGCACTTGGTGGGTGATGATTTCGTCAGCATCACGCTTTACTTCCCAGGACTCTACATGGTATCCACTCAAGGCTGGGTATATCTTAAAGCCAAGGTCATTTTTTGAAAAAGGTCTGGTCCATATTGAACGGAGTAAGCATAAAAAGTAAAGTTCCTTTTCCACGTCTTTAGGCGTTATATGGCATATAGGGCTAGACCTATATTTTTATAGAAAATCGGCACAATGTAGGTGATGTGGTCAGCACCACGCTGGCTGCTTTTACTTGCCGGGACTGCACCCGGTACCCACTCAAGACTGGGTCGACCTGGGAGTCAAGGTCATTTAAAAAAAAAAGTCAGGACTAAGTTCGATTTCTATAAGCTTGTTCTAGCTGCTTCTCTCAAACTAAACAGGGTCACACAGGAACTATTTGGCATCCTAACTTGTATTTTGTTTTCTTATTACTTCTTACGTTTCCAAGCCTATCTGGGTCGGCTCCGCCCATTTACACACATCGCAA